CGTTTCTTGGATCCTGGTCCCACTGTGTGGCTTTAAGCTTTGCTCTCCCCTTCAACCTGACGGGCACCCACGGCCTCAGAGGACAGCTCCACTCCTTCCTTCTTCCTTAGGCAACCAGCGGGCCAGTGTCTGGTTCCTTCTGAAAGCCTCCGAAGAGGACTCCACACTGGCGCCAGCTTAGCCAGCTATTCAGTGAAGAGATTCCCTCCATTATCCGTTAGTTAAGTTGACCAAATACAAAATCAACCCTGTAAGTTTTATTTAGCCTTCTTTTCCGTCTGTTAAAGTCAAGCAAATAGTACCAGTTTTTACTTTAAAATAACATATATGGTATAATCCACCGTGTGTGTACACCACCGTTTGTTCATTCAGTCTGCTGTTAATGAACCCGTGGTTTGTTTCTAGTTTGGTGATATTCTGCACAAGCACTGTTAGAAACATTCTTGCCTGTACATTCTGGTGCACAACCGTGTAAGCTTCTCCCAAGTAGAGACAAGAGTGAAATTGCCAGTTGTAGGTAAATGTGCACATTTAAGGTGTTCATGAGGTCCAGCAAAACTGTACTCCAGAGGTGATTCTATCAGCCTGTACTCCCCCAACCAGTGCAGGAGAGGGGGGCCCCTGGCTCTGCAACCCCTCCTACACTGTGCATTTCCAGAATTAATTTTTCTGATCTAGTGGGTTTGTGATGACACCACCTTGCTGTGATTTGCATTTCCCTGATTATTGGTGAAGTTAAGCATCTCTCCATGTGTTAACTGGCAGTTTGGAGTCTTACGTGATGAGCCTGTGCACGTCTTTTGCCCATTTCTACTGGGCTGACAAATGTTTTCATACTGATTCCTCAGAATATGGAAAATATATTCCATATGCTAGATTTTGATAGTTATACATGGTGTAGATGTTATCCTCCTGAATGCAGACATTTCTTTTCACTCTCTTTATGATGTAGTTTGATGAATGGGGATTCTTAATTTTTATGTAATTAGAATGATCATTCCTTTCCTTTGTGGTTAGTGCTTTTGTTTAAGAAATCCTTCCCCATCCTAAAACTAAGAGGTTTTCTTTTTTCCTGTTCATCTTCTAAAAATGTATTGTTCTTTCTTTTTTGTGAGGTCTTTAATCTAGAGATTTATTTCATATCTATAATATGAGCTCTAAGTCCAATGTTAATTTTTCCATATTAATGAACAATTGTTTTAGCATCATTTATTGTATAGAAAGATACAATTGTTTTTTTAATGAAGTATAATTTATGTACACTATTATGTCAGTTGCAGGTGTACAACATAGTGATTCAACAATTACATAAATTATGAAATGCTTACCACAATAGGCGTAGTTACTATCTGTTGCCATATAAAGTGATTATAATGTTATTGAGTATACTCCCTATGTTGTATTTTTCAGCCCTGTGACATTTTTTAGTTCATAGTCGGAAGTTTGTACCTCTGTTTACCCTTCACCTAGCTCACCCATCCCCCACCCCCCTCCCCTATGGTTTGTTCCCTGTATCTATGAATCTGTTTCTCTTTTGTTTGCTTGTTCATTAATTTTTTTAGATTTCACCATAAGTAAACTCTATAATTGTTTTTTATATATCCATTTTATAACCAGGAGCTCCCTAAATTCTATTAATTCTAATCATTTATGCATAGATTTTTAAAATTATATACACACATAATCTTATCTTTAGTCATAATTCATGCATAGATGTTGAATTTTAATGTTTCTGTAAAAATTAAAATAATCACGTGCTATTTCTCATTTGTTTTCCTAAGGTGGCAAATTTAATTGATTTTTTTAATGCAAATCAACCTTGCATTCCAGGGATGAATCAATTAGACCATGATGGATTGTCCTTCCTACACATTACTAATATTTTAGAATCTATATTAAAAAGTTATTTTAACCATTATAATAAGCTATTCTAATCATATTTTATATCAAGATTATGTGAAACTAATAAAATGAGCCAGGGAATAGTCCCTTTCTCCTTTGGACTACCTTGTGTGAGACTGATTACTTTCTCCTTATATGTTTGGGAGACTGACAATCATCTAGGGCTGAGTTGCTTCCTAACTAATTTTTTCAATAGTCCTTGGTCAAGTCTTTCTTTTTAATGTCAGTATTCAAAAGATGCAGTTCTCTAAGAATTTATCCACTTCACTGAAATTTTCAAATTTTTTGGCATAAAATTGTTCATAATATCTTCTCTATCTGTACCAACCATAGTTTTGTTTACAGTCCCATCCTGATTTTGCATACTTTTCCACTCTCTGGTTTTCTTTTGATTAACCTTGCCAGATTTTTATCAATTTTATCAAAGGACTAAATCTTGGCTCTTTACTCTCAATATATTTTTATGCCATTAATTTTTTCCTCTATATTAGTTCTTTCTAATATAGGGGGTTGTTTTGCTATTCTTTATCATTTCATAAAATAAATGCATTACTAATTAATCAGTAGGTTTTCCTATTTTACAAAACAAGCATTTGAAGCTATAAATAAATTCTAAGTCTGCTTAACCTACAGACTACTAGTTTTGATTTGCATTAATGTTCAGTTTTAAATATTTCTGATTTTCTTTTTTTAATTTGACTCATGAGTGTTTAGAAGTTAATTCCTAGTTTCTAAAAATACTGGTATTTTTTAGTTAAGAATTTTCACTTGATTTCATTGTAACCAGAAAATACCTTCTATATTACTTTGATTCACTGAAAAACTTTTGAGACTTGTTTTATGGATCAAATGTTTTTAAAATAATTTATCTGTGCTTTAAAAGAATACATAATTTATAGTTGTTAGAAACATACATCAACTTTGTCAATGATTTTGCTCAAATCTGTAGTTTAACTCTGTCCACTTGTTCTTTAATTACTAAGAGATTAAAAACTCTTGTTATGATTGTGTATTTATTCCCGTTTGTTGTTCTGTTAATATTTGATTTATATTTTGGGATTTCATTAGGGGGTTATTATGTGGTTGTACCAATTTATGCTCCCACCAGCATTGTGTAAGAATTTAGAGCTTCTCTTGTATTTAGTACCTTCATATTTCTGACATTTTGCTAAGTAAATAGGTGTAAAATGAAACTTCTCTGGGATCATGATTTCTAATTCCCTGATTATTAATATTATCTGGCTCGGAATGTTGGTTGACTATACGTGTTTCCATTTCTATAAAACACTGATTTACATCTTTTGTCTACTTTCCTATTAAGTTGTTTGTTCATTTTTCAACCCCCAAGGAAATATTATTTTGATGTGTAGCGAATGGCTTTTCTCAGCTAGCATCCTGCCTTTTCACTCTCTTTAAGGTCTCCTTTGATGCTAGAAGTTCTTTATTTTAATGCAGTCAAATTAATCAATATGTTCTTGAACAGTGACCTTTTCATACGCCATGTTTAAGAAATTTTTTCCTAGCTTCAGATAAGGAAGAAAGTCGTGTGTTTTATATAAGTCTTAAAGTTTGCTTTTGAAATTTGCATTCTAATCATTCTGGAGATTTGAGGGGGCGGGTATTTTTACTGTTTGGTTTATTTTTGGAGTTTATTTTGGTATGATCGGCAACAGGTAAACAATTTTGTTTTTTTCCTCATAATAAACATTTATTCTGTTTATTAAATAGTTCCTCCATTCCCCACTAATGTACAAAAGCATCACTGTCAAGGTATCAAACTTCCCTGTATTTGTGCTGTTGTTTTTTGGCTCTCCTATTCCATTCCATTGGTCAATTTTCCCATCTCTGTTCATACACTACACCAGCTCAATTACTTTAGCTTTATATTCATTCTTGATAAAGTCCTCCTTCCTTCTGCAAAGGTGTTTTGACAATTCTTAATCTTTTATTCTTCCATATAAATTTTAGAATCAGCTTGCCCATTTCCACAAAAAACAAATACATAATGGTATTAAGATTTTAACTGTGTTTGTGATGTATTTATAAATCAACTGTGGACAACTGACTTCTTTTCAATATTAAGTATATCAATCCATGAACATGGGATATTTTTTTAATTGATTTAGGTATTCTTTTATGTCTCTCAGGAAAATATTCAAAACTTCTGTGGTCTGACCTTGCACATCTCTTTTTTTACATTTATTCCCAGATACTTTATACTTTTTGCAGCTACTGTAAGTAGGTTTATTTACATTAATTCTTCTAATTGTTTATTCATATTTCTAGAAATATAACTGATTTTTGCATGTTGATCATATACTCAGCCACAATGAGCAACTGTCATTATTTTGAGTAAATTTTTGGCAGATATTTTGTCCTTTAAGTAAATAGTCATATCACATAGAAATAATGACAGTTTCATTTTCTCCTTTCTAACCTTCAGTTCCGTGTGGAATAAAAGCGTGATAGTGGCGTGCTTATTATTCTTTTGAGATTATACAGGGAATTCTTCAGTGTTTCCATACTTAAAATCATTGGGGTAGGGTTGGGATTTTTGGTCCTTGTGTCTGTTTTTCACATTTACCTTAATCAGGTTAAGGTGTTCTCGTTTAGTCCTACTTTTCCTTTTTTTCATGAATGAGTATGGAATTTTCTTTTCTTAATGTGTAGAGATGATCGAATGGCTTTTCTCCCTTGCATTATTTTCCATCTTCTTGCCTCTGTGTTGCTTTTAGTGTAATATCCTCAGAGCTACTTTTCCACTCATCAATTCTCTTTGGCTTTTTTCTAGTTTTATATTTAGCTTATTGATGACTTTTTTACCACACCAATTTATTTTTCATTTCTAAAAGTTATATTTTGTTTGTTTTCCAAATCTAATCAGGTCATATTAATACTTTTTTTCAACTTACTATTTGGGGGATGACATTTTTTCTTCAAACATTTCACACCTTGCCCTTCTATATTATGTAGCTGATCTTTCCAAGATCTAAAACCTCAGAGGGTCTAAATATGTTGCTTGCTATTTTTTATTACTCTTATTCATGGTTGAAAAATGTTGTCTAGGTAGAAAAAAAAACAGTGCTAGATATTTGAAACAGAGAGATTTTAATATAAGAAATGTGCTAGACAAGTGGGATGGCCTGGGAGATGAAAAAGGAAAGGTGATGTTACCGAGAGGTTAGTGACTGTCCGAAGCCATGCTTTCTCCTAAGGATGGAGAAGCAAAGGTTAGGAGGTGTTTCCCAGACCCCAGGAATACAACACTGCTGACGCTGCAGCCCCCCTGCCCCCAGTCACTACCACGACTCTTCAGGAAGCCCAGCCTGCACGCCCATGGACTCTCCAGGAGCGGGGAGTCCACAGTCCCTTTGAAACTGCACGTTTGCTGGACCGTCTGGGAGATGAACGTTCCCCACATACTCACCATGCTCCCACCGTTGGGGTGGCCTGTGGCGATCTGCAGGTGCCTGCCATTGCCAGAATCAATGCTGAGGAAAGAAGTGGTGTCTCCCCCTTTCTCATCTCTGTTTTCTTCCATTTGACAGGACCTAGCCAGAAATCAGATGGTGAGGGCATTTAGGAAATGTGGTTTTCAGGCTATTTAGTGTAATATCCTCAGAGCTACTTTTCCGTATATAGGGTACTGTGTACAGAGGACATCAAAGAAGTGTGAACATGCTGCTGAATGCTAAGAGATTAAAAGCCAGTGTTTCTTTGCATGATCTGTGATCATGTGTTAAATGGTGGTTGATTTAGTCAGTAGAAGACCTCTGGGCCTACACGAGGATGCTTTTCTTCAAAGACGGCCCCTGTGGTACACAACTCAGAGGCAGTCGTTTGTGTGGGGGGCAGTCTTTCTGGAGTGTGCACAGGGCGACTCCACTGCATAACTCCAGGAGGTTCCATTCACATAGAAGGCAAAGTAAATGATGTCCTTCGCAGTGTTAGTCGGGTACCGTACCACCGCCCATTCTTCTGGTGTTGCTTGTATTTTCTAAGGGCTGGTCTGTTCGGAAGGAGGGAGAAAGGTGTCTCTGGGGGCCTAGCAAGGCACTAACAATTCTTTCCTAAGCAGCACATATCCACTTGGCATTATTTTCCAAACTCGAAGTCTCCATGTCCCACGTTCATAAAAACAATATAGTGATTCTTTCCCTCCCTCTACCAAAAAAAAAAAGGGAGAAAAATGGTAAGGAATTTTGCCAGCTACCTTTTAATTTGAGCTACCAGCAAGAAAGGGCTTAGAGACCTGAGCTTGTCCTAGGGGTTGGGGCACCCCCAAAACCAAACAGGTGTAAACCCTTCAGGTGCTATAGGACACTGAATCTCCAAAAGTGCCGTGCATAATGGACTGAAGGTTAATGCTTCCAAGAACATATAACTTATTATAGGCTGTAGCACTACACTGTGGTCTATAACGGAATGGCTAAACTATAAACATCAAATAAGACCAGCACAGTGAGTTTGAATGTAGGTTTGGTTCTTTAGAATTAACTAATTCACGATGATAGCTGGGGGGACTGCATGGCAGAAGAGGTATAAAGAGAAAACCAGTCTGGTCGCTACTAAGTCCAGAGATAACTGGAGGTACTGCGCAGGGTGGAGAACCTGCTGTGTACAGGTGAGATACACCACTTACATTAATGGGAAGAGCACCCAAAGGCCCATCATTAATTATCCCAGAGTTATGAACGTTCGACAAACTTAAAAAATTTTAACAATATTCTGATGGCCATAAAATGAGGTGTGTTCCATGCAGACTGACTCTCTCTTGTCCAAGTCTGATTTCTGCATGTGTTTTCATGTGTTGTCTGTCTCCATGTTAATATTTTGTGTTTACCTTTCTTGATTATTAGTTCATCCAAGATGCTGTCTGTATCTTGCCTTGTTTCTATCATTTTCTCTCCCTTTTCCTTCCTAATCTCCTACCTCTCTACTTTTTTAGCCAGTAATTTTGAACGGACACATTTTTGTATCACATACTGTATCTACTGAATAGTTTTAAGTTCCAAATTTAAAGCAGATGAATAGATCATTTCATCTTTCTCTTTAAATAAAATGAGTTTATTTTACATGTGGGGGCCACACCTGATTCTTCTCCTAATAACGGAATAAGAAAAGAGATTCCTCTCTCCTGATCTAGAAACACTCCTAACTTGGGATTATCATTAGAAATGATATAAGTAAGTTCCATGAACTGAAGTAGAAGAATATTCTAGATTCATTCGATTCACTTCCTCTGCCCAAATTTTTTGCCTGGGCTTGATTCAGTCCTATGCTCTCCTTCCAGTACTTAATTCGATCAGGCATTAAGCAGAGAAGGGGAGGAGGAGGTGGAGACTTAGATTTCACAGCAGAAATTCTGGACACCTCACATTTCCTTTCAGCCACAACGCCTGTTGGAGAGAAGGGAATTAGAACAGACAAGCTGCAGTTCCTGCAAAGACAGATCTATGGGTTTCGTACGGACTACAGGCCCAGTGGTGGTCTCTGAACCAAATACACGCTTGTAGATGGTTTGAAAGAGAAGAAAACCCCTTTAGTAGGTAGACAATCACTGCTCCCTCTCCCCCACCTTCCCCTCATCTGTGAGGTGTGGACACTCCCCCAGGGCACTCTCATTCTTAATCGCAGAGCTGGTTTTGAGGCTTCTATATCTCTGCTTCTGCTCTTTCTTAGAACCACAGAATCTTAGAAACTTTTGAAACCACCTGATCTAATTCTGTCACATTGTGGACAAAAGTACTGGTGAGGTGAGTTCTCATTCAAAGCCAGGGAAACCGTTTGGGGCGGGGCCATGGACAGAACCTAACTCACTCTAGGTGCCATGTCACCCTTGACATGCCTTGCAGAGATTAAATATATAGGAACTTAAAAGATTTTCACTGAAAGTCACATTGCAAACACAATATAAATCTTGGGGGAAAATGAGTCTCATATGACTCAGGCCCACCCATTAGTTGGTCGGTCAGCTAGCTCCCTGGAAACCAGAGCCAAGTGAAAGGATGGATCCTCTGGGCAGGCACCCGGGGTGTCAGTCTTTAAGGGGGGGCTAACAAGATGGCATTCTTGTATGAATTAGAGAAACAGGCTTCCCCTAGGCAGATGCAGCCCCTTGCCAGTGGCCCTTTGTGAGGATGTAAAGGCACCCCTTGCTCTAGGCGAATGCAGCCACTGCCTGCGTGCACAGTGTAGCTTGTGGAAAGTGCGATGGATTTCAGTCCACGCTTACCCCTTGGTCAAGCCTCCTTGTGCGCGTACCCGAAATCACTTGAAAGACGGCTCTGTGGTGGTCTCCCATGACTTGGCAAGAACTGGCAGTGGGGCTGAGACAGTTAGGGAGCTGTAAGTGACCCCTACCTGCCAGGTGGCTCTGGTGAACGGAGTGGGGTACAAAGTTCGGGGTCAGGAGATAGAGGGGGAGCTGCAGGCTTCCCTGGGGGTCCTCCTATGCCTTTACCATCCCCCCCCCCCATCTCCGGGCACCTTGGGTCCCAGGTTAGAGCGTGTGTTCTCACGGAGTTCATTCTGTAACTTCCCCGTAAACAGTGTGCAGTGACAGGGCTTAAAGAGCGCTCCGGTTTATTTATTCGGGAGGTAATCCTTGCCTTCCTTAGATGGTTCAATTACTTCCTTTGTCTTCACTTTCCGTGGACGAAGTAAATTACGGACTTTGCAGTCGACTGATGAATTTGCATCTTAGTTGTGCGATGACTTGGCACGAATTCTCTCAGAGCTGCTGAGCTTCCTGCTCCTCATCTGTGAAATGGGCTCTGCTGGGAGGATGAAAGCGCACGACTCATTTTATCAAGTACCCGGCAAACCCGGGGAGTGAACGATGGCGGTGTGGCCGTGACGGGAGTGGGTGCCATCGCGTCGTCCTCTCAGCGCTGTCACTGCAGGCGCACAGACTCTAGCCGGAGCGCATGGCGTTGTCTGGGCCCCGAGGAGCTGGGCGCCAGCATATCAGCCTAGAGGGGACAGAGGACGATGCCTGGGGTTTGATTTGTCCTTTAGGTGCCACCGTTCCCACAGTTCCCACCATAGGTCTCGCTAAAACGAAGGCCTAGGGGAGTTCCCGCTGCTGTTGGTGTCCTCGCAGACACCGAGGGACGCCGTTAGGGTACAGACCGAGCGCTGCATCGGAGATCTGGGCTTGCATGTCGGCTCTACCTCTGACTTTTTTTTTTTTTTTTACTGTTTGTGAAGTCCTGGGCAAGTCAGCCCCAGTTTTCCTCAACTGTAAAATTGGGATAATGTTGGTTCTTATCTCATAAAGTTTAAATAAGATCATTTCTTGGCATGTAAGAAGCACTCAATAAGCATAACTGTCGTTGTTATTAGGGGGTCTGCTGAGTCAGGTGTTCCGGGGTTGCTTCTCACGAACTCCTCACAGATGGCAGAAGCCTAGGGCAGTGCCTGGCAGCCCCTGGGCCAGGGGACAGGCAGGTGAGGCAGGGGGCAGTGACTGAAGTCAGGAATGCTGGGCTACCCAGTGCTTTGTCCCTGTGTGTGTTTGCACGAAGCTTGGCACGGTGGCAGGGAAGGAATATAAGGGGCCCGATGAACAGAAGTGTGACCTCTCCCAGAACTGTGGATTCTCGGCTTGCCCGAGGTGGTGGGGTCTGGGAAGCCGTGCAAAACACGATCATCTAACATTCCCCCAGGCCCAGAAACAGAACTGCGGGTGAGGCGCATCACCCCGGACGGCAATAAAAACAAACAGAAGGCAGGCGTTCACAGTAGCTAGTGAGTCCTCATCCATACCTTCCTCCCAGGACTTTTAAGAAGCCAGGAATACAAAACACACTGGGTACACACCACAGCTCCGATGACGGGGGCCACAAAACTTCTTCCTGGTGGCCCAGAAAGCCAGACCAGAAGACATACCTACACTGGCCGGAGGATGAAGAAATACAGCTGTTAAAATGTCATGGGTTTGAAGGCAAGCATCTTGTCTGGTATGTTTCCCCCCCACAAGGACGATAGTAGGTGCTCACTAAACAAACACGGTGGCAGGGAAGGAATAAAAGGGGCCCGATGAACAAACAACCCTAGGTTATTTCCAGCCCTCCTACCTCGATCCCCCCTCAACTGGTTAAGTCTGGGATAAGGGCTCCTCGTGCTCCTACCAGCACGCAGTGCACCTCCGGAATCCGGGGGCCCCACCGCCAGCGCGCACCGGGGGTGTCGGAGTGCAGGGGCGTGTGGTTCCCTCTCGGCCATCAGGAGCCCTATTCCCTCCCCTGAGCCCGGTCGCGGGCACTGGCGATCAGTCCCCCGCAGGCCCTCTGCGCACTCGGCCGAGGAGAGGCCGGGCCTCCACGCCGCCCCCACCCGGGCCGCGAACGGGAGGACGGGGGGATGAATTAATAGGCAGAACCCCGTTACTGGTTCTCCTGCAGGGAGGCCCCGCGGGCGCGGCAGCGGCGAAGGGCCCGGCGGAGGGAAGTCGGGGGCCGCGGGGCCGGGCGGCGCTCCTGCAGAGGGAGCTGTGCGCTGGGCCAGACGCACGCTCGGCGCCGCCCGCGCCCTCTTGCCGCCGCCGCCGCCGCCGCCGCCGCCGCCGCTGGGCCCGCCCGCCGGGGAGGGGCTCCCGGCCTCGCCGACCGCCGCTTCCTGCTTCCCGCAGGTCCTCGCCAACGCCGCCGGTCGGGTCGCACGAGCCCCGGCCGAGAGCAGCCCGCCGCCGCCGCCGCCGCCCGCTCGGCCCCTCCGCGCCCGCCCGCCGTCCGCGCCCCGCACCGTCCCGGAGCCCCGGCCATGCCGTCCTTCCAGTACCCCGACGTGTCCCGCGACGAGACGCAGGTGGGCGCCCCGCCCGCCGCCCCGCGCCCCGCGGCCTCCCTCCCCCCTCGGCCTTTGTTTGCCAGCCGCGGGCCGGGGGCGCCGGGAGGAGGTCCCCGTCCGCCCGCTGGCCGCGGAGCCGGGGGTGCTTCCCAGTCAGTCGCCGCGGGGCCGCTGCGCGAAGCCGGTGGGGTCCAGGGCAGACGCCCCGGTACGAATGGGCGTCCGGAGGGAGTGGGAGGCCGGAGCGTGCCGCTGCTTTGGGGCTGGAGGGGGCTCTCGCTTAGATCCGGTGGGGGACCGGGGGGAAGTGTGCAGATGATGTGAAATGTGAAAACGGAAGCAAACTTTTTGAACTACCAGATTTAAAACCCTCAGAGTCGAAGTTCATTCATTCATTCGATTTTAAAACGCGTGTGGAGCTGAGCGCCTGCCCCGCCCCAGGCCGGGTGCTGGGTGCTGGGCGCTGGGCGCTGAGGATGCAGAGACAGGACCGGGCAATTGGCAAGGTGGAGCGGTGACCCTGGAGTGTGGCAGCGCCCAGCCAAGTTCTCCTAAACCAGGAAAGGAGCTGAAGGGGGTGAGCGGAGGCCTTAGGCGGGAGAGGGGACGGCCTTTTTCAGAATGAGTTTGTCTTGGCTAGTGAAAGGGTTAACCACCCTTTACCTTCCACCTACAGGGAGATCCAGCCGGCGGAATTCTGGGCAAACACCTTTTTTGTGCAAAAATTAATTTGGCATCTTAAGAACTGGAGTGAATCCAAATGTTGTGGGCATGATTCTCTTAGGAATAGCCAAATGTATTAGAGATTACTTAAAATAGAATCACAATAGAAGTATTTCTGTATAATGCAGTTCTCATTTTTTTCTACTTGATTTTGACCGATGTATACCAGGGAGTATATACTGTACATCACATCTCTCTTTGGGGTTAAAGGCTAATGAGGCTTAAGAGTAAAGGACATGTTGTTTTAAATTAAGACTTCCAAGTGGCACGGATGTGTTCATGCTTTCTTCTACGAGGGGCCATCTGGTAACCATGTTTTCTCAGTCTGTTCGACTGCTTGCTTATTACATTTGCTGGCACAGCCCAAGAAGCTCCGCGCTTGTGGTTCGGCGGTTGTTTGCTTTGTGTATGGGAGTAAAGCGACCCTGCTGGAGTGGGAAGAGGCCAGACCATTGAGAAGACCTGAGTTCCAGTCCCGGTCTTGTCGCTTCCTATGTGGATGCCCTTGGGAAGGTCACTTACCCGTCGTAGGCTTTTTTTTCTCATATATGACCTATTACAGGGCTAGCTTGGCTAACCACAGAGCCACGTGCCTCTCCAATAGAATATTGTCATTCATTTCATTCACATGACAGTCTAGCCCTGCCATGTGCTTTAGGGATGGGAAGGCATGTGAATTCCTCAGTTCGGCTCTTGAGGATGTTTGAGTTTTCAGGGTAGATACAAAGAAGTATGGTTTGATAAGCCCCATTTTAGTTTCATTTTACTTTGTTTTTAGGGTGACTTCCTGCTTAGTTTTTCCCTATTGGGGTTACTAAAGTCCTACAGTTCTCTTATCTATGTCCAACAGCTCTTGAAAGGGTAGAGAGTGAGGATTTTATGAAGACAGCTAAAAGATCATGAGCAATGAATTTGAAAGGTATACCCTGAATTTCAGTTTCTCCAGTTCCTTCTCACCACGGAGCTAACAATGCATGATACCCCTAAGCCGCATGGCCAAGGGCGTGTAGCTGGTCCAACCTGGACACTGCTCGGTGGGTCTCATAGGGTCCTTATCCTACCTACCTGGGGTATCTTTTTCCTGTGACAGAGTCCTGATTACTAAGCCCTGGTCTTAATACATTTGCTCAAACTGTATCCTTGATGTCTAGGAAGGGTTTGTTCCTCTCTAGCAGGGGCTAGAGATTGCTGTAGCTCTCTGTCTCTCTCACTTGAACATCTTTCAGCCAACCTGGCAGTCTCCTGCGGAACTGGTTGGAGTACGCAACGCTTTTTGGTGGATTTCTACCCTGATGAGCCGAAATTTGGAAGCCGTGACACTTCCAGTATAACGCCATTGCCCATGCCCACAGCCTCCTGTTCCTGGCAGGCAATTCAGCTCCAGTACAGGTTCGAAGAGTGTGTAGTGTGAGTGGAGAACTCAGAGGAGGATGGGATTCGTTTCCACCCAGAGGAGGAGATACTGTGTGAACTGAGCCTGAAGTTGGCCAGTTGGCTGAAGTCAATAGGACATTCCCAGCTATGCTACTAAAAGCTGTAGATATGTAGGGCCGGATGGACGTGGAGTTGCATTTATTTGTAGATGGCAGGGAGGTCATTATGTGGATACATGTGGATGGGGACTAGAAAGAAAAAAAAAAACTGGAGCCAGGTTTGATGGGCTCTCCCTGCTGTGTGTACAAGTCTGCACTTTATCCTGAAGGCAGCAACTGAGCTGTTGAACAGTATGAGTAACATGTTGAATGGTAACGGTGCCTTCTCAGGGCTCTGTGTTTTAAGTCTCTGGGAGAGAGAAGGAATGGTTTGCGAACTTAAATCAGTTGCGAGAATCAGATACCACTGCACAGCTTGAGTCAAGAGATGTGGGTATGCGACCAGCCCATTCGTAGGTACGGTCTTGTAAAATGAAAGGGGGAAGGGACCCTTAGCCCCAGGGAATGTCTGTGGGATTGTCCTGGACAGAATCAGTTTCTCGCCTGCTTAAGTGTCTGTGGATAAGGACCCTCGATCTGCTTTAGATGGTGATGCGGGTTCTGGGAAGATGTGGCTGTTTCCCCAGAGGTAAACACCGTTCAGGAGGTAGCACCGCGTGGATGCACTGGGCACCGAGTCAGGGTCCAGCTGTGCACCTGCTGGTCTAACACTTGGCCTGGTTCATTAGCCAGGAGGTTAAGTCCACAGGCTTAGGGCTGGCTCGGGGTGGGTCACAGCCCTTCTGAGTTTCAACCATCTGGCCTTTGTCAATGCTTTAGTTCCCTTCAGCTTCAGTTTGTCATCTGGAAAGTAAGTTAGTAGTAACCTCCCCATGAGGACTGGAGAAGTAGTGTGGCTAGAATCTATGGCACAGTGTTTAGCTGACAGTGATCTAGGACTAAACAGTAAATCCGTGACCTTTACTCTTACTAACCTCCCTGAATTGCACTCTAATCTATAACGTAAGGACATCATCAACCCTCTTCCAAGGTTGCTTTAAAATGTGGGGCACGACAAGAGGATACTCAGCAGATGCCCATTGTATTGGGTCTAGTACCTGCCAGTGCCCTCACTCAGCATTAAACTCACACGATTTCTAGTTAATCTTTTTCCCCTTCCTTATGAAAAGTTAAGTCTCTGGATATGTCTGAGTTTTAGTAAAATCATAATTGAGGAACGTTTTAAAGTGCCTGGTCTGTCCCCGCGGAGGTAATATTTGGGGAAAAGCTGTTAGCAGACTATTGTAGTCCCAGGTCTGAACCTGAACTCTGTGTGAACTGGCTACGTTGCCGTCTCGTTCCTCCATTGCTCCTAAAAATTTGCCATTGGAAGATGCTTTACAACCAAAACTTTGTCTGATTGTTTATTGTCAGAGAAAAGAAGGTTATTTTAAGCATATTTTATAACCACTTCAAGGTATATAAAAGTGTAAAAAACTTGCATGTTAGAAGAAAAGATAAAAAGCTTTCATTCAGTGGTAACAATCAACTAACATTTAGGCTTTTGATAAGCATTGGAGATCGGTAATTTTATGAAGTCTCAACAGGAGAGGTTTTAGTCTGGTGTTATGTCCCTTGAGCTTGTCAGGCAGTTGTTTTTTTTGTTTTTTTTTTTCTGAAGTCCTTGTTCTTTATTGGCAAGGGGTGAGGGAAGCAGACAGACTGGTCGGACATGGTAGATGGGTGCAGAGACTAGGTGCTACATGAAAAGCCAGCTAACCCACAATGCCCTGAACTGGATGCTAATGAATTTCTAGATAATTGTTTCATACAAAGCCTTTTCCAAGGATAAAGGGGTATTTGTAAAGCTTGTTGCACCTTACTATTATGATGGTGGCAACTGTAGTTTTCTCCCAGAACAACTAACCCTAGTCATAAGTATCTCTGCTACCTCAACCCCCCTCCCACCCCAGGATCACAGCAAATATGGTGAGGTGATATGGCTGAGTGTTCCAACTGGGTGAGCAGATCAAGAGTATTGCCCAAGCCGTGTTACTTAAGTGCACATGCATCACAGTATGGCCTCTTTGCAGCCAACTAGAAGTCAACATAAAGACATGAGACATAAATGGAGACAATATTTATATTTAGAATTAGCCACCTGGATTCAGTTTAGATGATCCCAATTTTGTTGGCAACATCCAAAGCATCATAGTCAGGAGCCAGTCGAACATATGCCTACTTCTGTCCATCAGGCCTGATCAGGGTGTTGACCTTGGCCACATCAATGTCATAGAGCTTCTTCACAGCCTGTTTGATCTGGTGCTTGTTGGCCTTGACATCCACAATGAACACAAGTGTATTGTTGTCTTCTATCTTCTTCATGGCTGACTCGGTGGTCAGGGGGAACTTGATGATGGCATAGTGGTCAAGCTTGTTTCTCCTGGGGGCGCTCTTCCGAGGGTATTTGGGCTGCCTTCGGAGACGCAGTGTCTTGGGCCGTCTGAAGGTAGGTGACATGCGGATCTTCTATTTGTAAAGCTTGTTGCACCTTACTATTATGATGGTGGCAACTGTAGTTTTCTCCCAGAACAACTAACCCTAGTCATAAGTATCTCTGCTACCTCAACCCCCCTCCCACCCCAGGATCACAGCAAATATGGTGAGGTGATATGGCTGAGTGTTCCAACTGGGTGAGCAGATCAAGAGTATTGCCCAAGCCGTGTTACTTAAGTGCACATGCATCACAGTATGGCCTCTTTGCAGCCAACTAGAAGTCAACATAAAGACATGAGACATAAATGGAGACAATATTTATATTTAGAATTAGCCACCTGGATTCAGTTTAGATGATCCCAATTTTGTTGGCAACATCCAAAGCATCATAGTCAGGAGCCAGTCGAACATATGCCTACTTCTGTCCATCAGGCCTGATCAGGGTGTTGACCTTGGCCACATCAATGTCATAGAGCTTCTTCACAGCCTGTTTGATCTGGTGCTTGTTGGCCTTGACATCCACAATGAACACAAGTGTATTGTTGTCTTCTATCTTCTTCATGGCTGACTCGGTGGTCAGGGGGAACTTGATGATGGCATAGTGGTCAAGCTTGTTTCTCCTGGGGGCGCTCTTCCGAGGGTATTTGGGCTGCCTTCGGAGACGCAGTGTCTTGGGCCGTCTGAAGGTAGGTGACATGCGGATCTTCTTTTTTTTGTGGGTGTGGACGCCTTTCAGCACAGCTTTCTTGGCCTTCAAAGCTTTTGCTTTCACTTCAGCTTTGGGAGGGGCAGGAGCTTCCTTCTTTGCTTTCGGTGCCATCTTCGTGAAGAGGCAGGCAGTTGTTTTATGAGAACAGTTCCCAAGTATTCTGCTTTATCTGCCCATTCCTCCGGGTGTGCATTGTCCCAGGTGTTCTCTCACCTGGCACCAGAGGACAGAAGCAAGCGCTTTGCAGAGTGCCTGGGGTCTTAGGCACAGGAAGAGCCTTCTTTCCTGGCTAGCAGGCGCCCTGGGGCTTTGACTGGCACTAGAAGCAGCAGGCCTTCATTTTCCAGGGGAGTGTTTGCTTCCCTTAGGGAATAGCCCTTCCTGCTGGTATTACAGGAAAAGCAAGAAGGAGACAGATTAAAAATTCATCTGAGATACTGATAATTATCCCAACAACCTTTACGAGAACCCTTAGCCAGATTGTTAGACTTGTTTGAAGACTTGCTTGGAAAGACATTTTCCATGTGGTTGCATTTAATCACTGTAGTACACAACGAGAGATTTTATAATGATTTTTATTTACCTTTGAAAGTTTCTTTAGGTATAATCATCTGAGGAATGGCGACTCCCACTTGCTCGCCCAGACTCAATGGGTCTCGGAGCCCAGGGAGATGGGCTTTTTGGAAGCTTCCGGGTGATTTTGATGAGCAGCCGTGGGAGCTCCCGAAGGCTCCCCGTCAGCCAGGCCCTGCTTACGCTAAGCAATTTTCTCTCTCCAAATTTCAGTGTAGTCTGAATGGGAGATGCTTTGTGCCTCCTTTTGCAGTGAAAGAAAGCAATTCATAACCAGAAAAAAGGCTTCAGTTTAGAACTGTTCTGTGGAAGGCACTTTAAGTCAGCCTTTTTAGCTGACGTCGATTAGAATCATTGCGTTAAACATTAGTAAACTTGCTTTTTGGCGGTTTCAAAGGCAAACCTGATCACAGTATGTGTTGTAGGGAGATTTCTAGTCACCAGTAAGCTTAGAAGAGCAGAGAAACGAGCACGCGTGTGGGGGTTCCTCGCACACGCCCCCTCGCCTCTCGGCCGCATTGTGTAATTCTGTGCTGTACCACTGACAACACACTTTCAAGTTTCTTTAGCACAGCGGCAGCCTTTGTTTCGGGTTGTGCAGACAGAGCTGTTTCCTATTCTGACCTTTCATCTTCCCTCTCCAGCTAAAACACTCTTTTCATGAGGGTGGCTTGACACCTTTGGGAACCCGCCAACTGCGGCTCACGTGGGAATGTGGGCAGACGCGTGGCCAGTGAGCCAATTGGGGTATTTTTGTGTGTCCCTTTCCTCTTTCTCCATCACATTCAGAAAATGTGAATTTAGTTAGGGCTGGGCACTACCTGGCTAATACTGCCTTTTGTCTTTTGCAGGTACAAGATTATCATGGGCATAAAATTTGTGACCCTTATGCTTGGCTCGAAGACCCCGACAGCGAGGAGACAAAGGTAACAGGGGCTTGGGATGGAAGCTAAGGTGGCTTCACAGCACCAACCTCCAACTTCGGCAACTGTGGGTTACCCCCCCTGGTGTCCAGCCCATGGTGAATACACCTGTGGCCACCACCACTCTTTGTCAAATGATTCCAAAGGTGAAAGCATTTTTAGTGTCAGAGAAAGATCAAGAAAATGTTTCTAATAATGTGTGAGAGTAAAGTGACACTGATGAACCAAGTATTTGAAATGCAAATATGAGAAAGAAAACTGACTTTTACCAAAGAAACATGACAACGCAGAGAAAAATAATTGCTGAATACATTTTTCTCAAAGGAAAGAGAATCTATGAACAGATACTAGGTCTTGAAAACTGAATGCTGGACTTGGATTGCATATTGATTTTAATGCAACAATAGAACAAAAACTGAACTATAAATATAAGAACATTCTTATATTTTATATAGAAGGGGTGGAGGGGAGGATTTATCTTCCGCTTTGTCTAAAAACATCAAGCTTTCCTATTCTTTTGGAGAAACATAGTATTTGAAGCCTCTTTGCATGAAGGAAGCTACCCTGAAGTGCTGTGTCCCTTAAGTGCCAAGGACTTGTCATTTGGGACGTATACTGCATGTGGTTAATTCGGTTTGCTTGGGTGAGGGAGTAATGTTTCTCTAACCAACCCCACCTTCCTCAACTGTTGTCTGTAACCATATTTACATATTACTTAGTACCTGAGAATATGCATACAATTTCTAGTTCATTCACCATTCCAGAAGTTCATTCGAACTCCTTTAGAATCCCAAAGTGCATTTCCCATTAAAAAAAAAAAATGTTCAGTGTACTCCAGGTGGTTTTGCAGGCCATCCTCCAAAAAGCCTGACATGACTCCTGTGTCTGGTGGCCCCATGCCACCATGTGTCCTCTGGAGAACTGAACTCGGACTTCAGGGCAATTCAGACTTGGCTGGAAAGTATTCCCACCTGATGCAGAAGGGGCTGGAGACGGGCTGGGATTCGGGTCGGTGGGGTTACAGGGTCCACCTGCATATCCTTGGGAAGGAGAGGGGTGAAGGGCTCAGCTGGCACAGTGACCTGCAGAAGAGGTGACGGTAGGGGCAGGAAGAGGTGGTCCCTGCCCGGGTGGATCCCAAGAACTCTCTTTGTTCTTCCTTCGCGCCCTCACGCCGGCTGGCCCGCTCCCCTTTCTCCCACCCTCTCCGCTCCTTCTAGCATGTCTCCCACCTTCTCCGCTCAATGCAGAAGCTCTTACGATGTCTCCCCTATCCTTTGGCCTTGAAGTAAGCATACCACCACTTTGAGATTTTCTAGTGGTTTTTCCTTCTGTCTGTAATCCTTGTCTCCCTTTCCGAATTCCTTTGGAGACAAACGGAGGCCTCATGGATAAGGATGGTCAGTGTTTGGGTTTTCATTTTCTGGTCATGGAGCATTGGGATATAGACGAGGGTGGGTAGAGGTTCCCAACTGAAAGCAGGTTGAGGAGCGCCGGGGGGGGATTCCTCAGGGAAGGCCAGGGGACTGGGGGGCAGGTGTGGGGCCGCCTCCTACCTGGATTCTGCCATGGGTGACACTAGTCACCCAGCCTTGGGCTGAGCTGAGATGGGGATCGAGCCCGTGAATGGGGAGCCCAGGAAGCCACGTAACCCTCGTGGATGGACAGCGCCATGGGAAGGGGTGAGCTACCGCCTCTGCACACCTTGGGGAATGGCCACCCCCAGCACGATGATGACTCCGTCTGAGGCGCGGGGTGCAGCCTGGATTTCTTCAGCCTTAGATGGTGAATGAGTGACCCAGCAGCATTCATGACCCAGTTTCCAGGTGTTAATGAGCACACACTTCGCTGTTCCTTAATTCATAATGGCTGGTCCCGCAGTTGACAGGCCACTTACTAGGTGAGACCATGCTCACCAGGGATCTTACAGTCAGCTTTGCTAGGAGCTGTGGCACATACACTGTTATTTTCATGGGATACATTTATTGGGTGCTTACTCTATGCCGGGCACTTCACTGGTAGCTTTGCCTACCCTGTCTCGTTTGATCTGCGAGCCCTAAAATAGATCTATTTATTTTCCCCATTTTACAGATGAAGAAATTGAGTTATGAAGTAACATGTCCAATGTCACTCAGCTCCTAAGTGTGAAGCCAAGAGTGGCACCTAGGGAGCCCAGGGGGTTGTCCACTTCACATTAAAAATATAGCAAAATAATAAAGAAAAAACTCTTTAATATTATTTTTTGAATAATGAAAGAGAAAACAGGTTTGGGAATGCATGCTGTAGAAATATACCGGTGCCTGTGCTTGCTGCAGGCCTTTGTAGAGCCTCCTGGGTGGACGCAGAGCCAGCCCCACTCCCACGCTGACCTGCTCAGACAGCACAGGTCAGGGGCTGCGCCGCCCACGCCTCCCCTCTGCCTTCTTCCATACCTTTCTCACTCCTTTCCCAACAGGCCTGTTACTGATGCAGGCTGGTATGTCATCTGGCTTCTGGGGACTTAAATTTTGGCCTCAGACCAAAGGGTAGGGTGTATTTTTCCAGTGAGCAGAAGAGCGGCATGAACATTCTCTGCTCATGGGTATGTGCGTATACCCAAAGCTGGACCGGTCACGCCTGGTGTAAAGAGGGCACTCTTCACACAGCCTCCAAAACAAAGAAAAAGCTGCTTGTTACATTTTCAGTTATAACCTGAGGAACCATCTGTAGCTCTTTTCTATTAAGACCTGAAATGCTATCAGTAGGTCTTTGATTTGGTCTAGTATTTAATACAGGTCCCAATCCAGTTCTGACATTGCTTGGCATTTAAGCTTACCCTTTATAAAAGAATATCAGAGCTGACTTGTAACTTAGAACATTCTCAGAAATGGGGGGGGGGGAGCTGAATTTGGATGAATCCTTTCAAGCTTTCAAGGCCCATATACCCCTATTTTGCAGCAAATGTGCCAGACTGTAGAAGGTGCTACACAGCTCAGCTGATGCTCTGAATTAAGTCCAACCTTGATATGAAAGCTTGATAGAGATACTTTGTCAGAAGGAAACAGGAGGCCAGTGCTGCCCGACAGATACATAATGTGAGCCATGCAAACAGTTCACATTTTTCTCGTGGCCACATTTAAAAAGTAAAAAGAGGTGGAATCAACTGTAGTAATATATTTTATTGAATCTAGTATACTCAAAATATTAATATCTCAACATGTAATCATTAGAGAATATTAAGATATTTTACATTCTTTTTTTCAAACCAAGTGTTTGAAAACCAATGTGCATTTTACATTTATAGCACATATCCATTCAGACCAGCCACATTTCAGGTGCTCGGGAGCCACATGTGGCAAGTGGCTGCTCTGTTGGACAATGATACAGACCAATCTTCCCTGTGATGATAGATGTAAAAAATACAAATAAATAATAGCAGATGAAAAAAAAAATGTATCACAGGAATTGAAGAACAGTTTAATATTAACAGATTAATAGATTACGTAAACCTATACAATGACCCTAAGGATAACAAAAAGAAACGAAAGAAAACCTAAAACTCAAAGTAGGAGTGACAGTGCTTTAACAAGGTGGCATCTTATTCAAAACAACTTAGAAACAGGCCAGAATGTCTCTGTCTCTGCTCTTTTGATATTTGCAAAGCTTTGACCAAAGCAATAAAACACAAACCAAAATTTGGAGAGAAGAAAATAAGATTATTAATGATAGATGATATGATTTTATATCTAGAAATCCTAAGGGGAGCAGCTGAACATGTATTAGAATTAATGAGTTCAATAAAGCAAATATGTACAAAGTCAACATGAAATCACTGGCACTCACGTACACCATCCGTAGCAAAAAATTAACCCATCTGCTTGCAGCAAAGCAAAGCAAACCGTTGAGAACGAAGGAGAGAGTTCCAGCCTACTGGGGGAGTAAAAATCAGAAATGTGGAGATCTAGAAAAGGGCCACTTTGGGGCATTATTTCTAATAGTAAAAAATTGGGAATAATCTCTATTTCTAACATTAGTACAGTATTTAAGCAGAATGTGATTCATCCCTGGATGAAATACTATATACATCTGTTTAAATGTTGAGCTAAAAGATTGCTTACCACCATGAAAAAATGCTTAGGGTAGAATATTAAGGGGGAGAAGGACATAGGATTGCGGTTTTCCGCATGATTACAGCTCTAAGAGCTGTCTTTGTAAAAGTAATTCTAGGAGAATCGATACAGAAATGCAAACGAAACGACAAAAATTAGATCAAGGGAAAGCTCTTTAGGTACCTACGAAGTGTGACATCCTCATGTAGTGACCTCGGCCACAGTGACATCTCATAGGTGTAACCTTGGATGTTTTCACCACGACATGTCAGGGAGAGAGGTTTGCGCCCTTAAACATGATTTGGGGACGAGGCTAGGCAGGTCCCGACAGGTGCTTCGCCCATACCTCCCACCCAGCAGACATTTCCAGCTCGTCCTTGGCTGGTCGTGGGAGGAAGCTATACCAGTCCTGTTGCTCCCGATATTTGACACTGAGGCAACTTGAGCCTCCAGCCTATTAATAACAAGCCTCTGTCCCCCATCAGCCAGCAGCTGACATTAATGTACAGGCGGCTGACTTCCTAACCCTCACTTCCTAAATTTCCCTCTGGTTTTCTGGGGCAAGTGAACCTCAAGCGGACTCTGCCGTTGCTTTCTGCAGCCTCAGTCTTCCTGGGCTCTTCAAGCATGCCACACCCAGATCTTATATCACACCCCACCTCGGGCCCTCTCCTGCTCTTCGTCTGCCTGCCCATCAGCCACTGTGCAGGGAGCTGGACCCCCACCCCGACTTCCCTTGTCACCCTCCACTCCCAGGACCAGCTCCTCCTGTTGATACAAACCAACCTCTTCTTGATCAGCAGCGGCCCAGTTGCCAAATCAAGAGGCTTGGAAATATTTTCATCCTCTGTCTTCACTGCGCAGGCGGACCACGTGTCTGGGAATCATGGAGGCTGCTGTGTGCTGGCCAGGGGA